GGTAGCGGAGGCGACGTGGTGTCGTCGAGTATAATCGAGTTCGCCAACGCGGCGGCTAGGCTGAAAGGTACTATCTCGCGGCTGTCGGACGGCGCCGGTGGCAAGCCGACCGAGGATATGATGCTGCTCGAGAAGCAGGGTAGAAGCTCGCAGCGGCAACGGATGGCACCCCCGGAGATAGGCGGCGAGCCACGTCGCGCCGGGAGTCTGCCGCCCAGCTCGTTACCACGACCGCCAAGGGCACTCAAAGCGACTAGCGCCAACTCTCGCTACTGTCGTCTGAGCGATATGGAAACGCGCAAGAAGTCGGATCCCGGACCGGGGATGCTGGATACGTCGTCCGCGACAGGCGGCGCGGTCAGTGGTGGCGGCGTGAAGATGATCCGCGACTCCTCCGGCAATTGCAGCATTGAATACGGTAGATTCGACACTGGTGTCGCCGTGGCCGCGAAGGTGTCGCGCAGCAAGAAGAAGAACTCCGTGGAGAGCTTCATGGCGAACAGCTCGCTGAAGAAATCATCGGTCGGCTCGGGGATGACGAGCAGCGGCGGCGGCGGTGGCAGCGGTCACGAATACGAAAGACTGCAGTCTGACACGATCACGATCAGCAATCGCAAGAAGTCGGTCGGCTGCGCGTTGGAATCAGCGGTGCGACACAGAGAGATGCAGAGCCGCTCGTTCATACCGCCGCCGTCGTCGCGCACTCGCATGGGCGAGTACGGTCGTCTGAGCGACGGCGAGTCCTCAGTAGCGGCGGTGGCGGCGGCAGCAGCTGCTGTTCTCAAGGGAGGCGGTAACACCTCCTTAAGGAAGCAGACGGGAACGGGTGGCTCGTCCCGCGGACAGAGCACCGGCAGCACCGTGAGCAGCAAGAGCGGCCGCGACTCCGGCGGCACCGCCAGCAGCGAGGCGTCCACGGCCTCCCTGCCGCCGACCAAGGCCAGGTCGATACCGCGTCCCGGCAATTACCGCATTCAATTCTGAGCGGCCTGTATTTATGCGCGACGCCTGGACCGAGAGTCCAGTCTCGGCCGAAGGACCAATCTTGGTCGGAACTGTCTACGTAGCATGTGTTGGTTCATTACGTCTTTTATATCTGCCGACGGTAATGAACTTTACTAAAGGCACAGTCGATTTTTTATTGTTCTGGTAGATAAATTCTGGTAGATAAATTTCATTTATTACATAACTTATGTATCTGTTAAAATATTTATTATTAGATATAATATATATTAACAGATTTCACCCTGTTGATGGTAATCCTCTGTTTGGGTCTATTTGACCCAAAATGTAATTAATTTTCTTATTAATATTCTATTTAAACTTGTTTCTCTGATATTTAATGATTATGTACGATCATTTTCTGTGAATTTTTTTTATTTTTTAGAACGTTTTAAGTATATTGACCCAAATGATGTGATCGTAAATTTGAACAGACCAGCAGAGTTAAATCTGTAAAAAATAAAAAAAAGATATAGTTCAACTTTTATGACAGTAAAAACTTGTTAGAGCTTTCACAAGAATGTGAAAATTTTTTTCAGATTTGTTTACAATCCAGAACAGTATAAAAATCTGCACTGAAGTTCGAAGATTCAGATGGCGAACGAAAAATGAAAATTTCACATTGCCGACGGATATATTTCTTAAACATATCTCTAGTGGTTTATAACTATTTAGGAAACATATAAAACCAACACATGTGCTACTTAGGTGATCTCAAAACGCGTGACACGGTTCGATTAACAAATCTTGATTACCGTCCATCAGATACTCGTTTCGTATTTGAATCCGACGGTTTTGAAAAGGATAAATCCGCCTTTAGAGGATTCGTTTTTCCGATAATTCAGATCAAAGGAGCGTACCAAAATTTATCCAAAACGGTCAATTAAATAGATTTTCACCAGTATAATTCTATGAACGTGAAAGTTTCTTGAAAGTCTATTTAGGTGACCAATTTTGGTGAACTCCTTATTGAAATTTTGATTGAAATTCGCAGTCCTGATGAATTCTCTCTCTCGATTTTACACGTATAATCGCGAATCTCGAGAGAGAATCTCGGCGGAAGGATTCTGTTTGAATCTTAATTAACTTTAATTATTTAATTAAACCAAAGCGCGACTAGCGAACCGTTTCGCATTTCGAGATTACATGTTTCGACGACTAGTCCTCTTGAGTCTAAGCGTGTTTCACACTTCTGAGATGAGATTTGAGCGTAAAAGCGGACAGGAGTCGAGTTAGTGTGAGTCTGGCGCCGAGCGTAAAGTACAAGTTTTCGCGTTAAGTCAACATTTCTCGTCGAGTCTCGTTGTAACGTAACCACGAGCTTACGGTGCGTGTAAGCAACGCGATGCGAAGGATGGCCATAACGGGGAAGCGTCTAAGCTGGCGCGTCGCGCCATTACGATTACTATTCACTATTTAGTAAGCCAATCGCCAGGCCATAACGGACACGAACACCACGACCTATTAAACTAACGTAGCGCGCGCGCGCGACGTAGTATATGACCTAGTCATTACCAAAGTAACTCTCTCGGTAGAATAGGAAAGAAGAATTGTCTTCCCTGATCGCATCTCGCGTGTAACGGCGGCCTTTTAGGGGATAACATTCCCCCGTGCGAAGTGCCTTTCTCGTGGATCGCCTTGCGTGCAATTCGCTTCTTATTGCAAACGTGCGTCCCCGATTTTCTTTTCCACGAAAAGAAAAATGGGTAAAGGTTTTCTATTCCGACGGAAGTATGTTATAATTCCTTAGCTCCGAAGGCTCGAGCCTGGATTGATGATCAAATCTGGGCGCCGAAAAGGAGAGAGAGACAGAGTCGCAAGTGGAAAGGAATTGCGACGACGTTTCATCTTGGAACAAGTTCAGGATGTTTACTACCTGGAAAAACCTAGAAAACCCGGAATTATCAAGGAATTTCTTTTTACTTTCGAAAATCAGGGATTTTCATGGAATTTTATCAGGACTTAAGGTACTTTCTCATGTAGATGCTCCTTTTTAGCTTCAAAATAAGTCACATGATCAAAATTGATGCTTGATATTCACTTGATACTGGCTTATTTTGATATTAATGAGTGTCGAGCATCAACATGAAATTATATCTTTAAGGACATTTTTGGAATTTTACTTTTCAATTTTTATCCCTTTCTGAAAACATTGTTTTAATTTTTCTTGATAATGCAAAATGTTAATAATCAGTTAGCAATATGTATGTGGTATATGTATCACGTATATTCTCGTATATCTCGCGAGTTTTTATTAAACAAATCAGAGTAGAAGACAATACTCAGTAATAGAGTAGCTCACTGATACTACTACATTGTATATAATGGGTCTTCCCTATACTATTCTATAGGTTTCGTGGCTCCATTTGTAGAAAATGATAAACGTAGTCTCGTGGAATCCCTGTTTTTTGTCACTGAAAAAAATAATGCTGATATAACATCATTTTTTCTCAGTGCATTAATTTTTAATGTGTAGTTTATTTGCGTTACTCTAATTTATTTCAAAGTTGTATTAAAAATTCTCTAATTTTACCTGGAATTTTGTACAAAAATACGTGGAAAATTCGAAAATTCTTAAGGAATTTTTTTGACAAGATTTCAGTAAATACCTTGATGTTTCCTCTCTTTTCTCGGTTTCGATGCACGGAGATACGCACGGCGCGCAACACACGTAATGTTATTCGATATAGAGACGATACTTCTTTTCGCGTAGCTTTATCGTAATGTAATAATCTTTCCTGGAGATCACGTAGATATAGAAAGTCGGATTATCTCATTTACCTAGCTGTTATTTTGACGTTACTATTTTTTCTTCAGGGCGCGTGACGATTAAGTTAGTCTCCTCGCACTTAGAACAAAGAACGAAGCGATAAACGAAAAACGCTAAAGTGTAAAATTTTATTAGGTATATTATCTCTTGCGATATGTCTATATATATTATTATTATATGCGTTTCTGTGTTCTGTTACAATATTTGTACAATCCGCTGTACACCATCGATACGAAGTAAGAAAAAGATCTTCTCTAGAACTGATAATAAAGTTCAGAGTATTTACTATCTGAAAAAATCTGGAAAATCTAAAATTTTCAGGGAATTTTTTTCTTTTTTTACTTGAAAATCAGAAATTTTCATGAAACCTTAACGATATTTATGGGAATTTTTGAAATTTTACTTTTAAATTTAAATTCCGTCTTTCAACAGTTTTTTTATCATTTTTTCTTGATAATACAAATTGTCGATAATTATAATTATTATAATGATATATTATAATTTATATTAAAAAGTTCTTTAATTCTACTTGAAATTTTGAATGAAAATACCTGAAAAATCCGGGAATTTTTTAAAATAAGAATTCAGTAAACACTCTGATAAGATCTTTTGGATTCTAATTAGATCTAATGTGGCTTTAATAATTTGACCATTAATTCGTTAATCTCTTGAATCGATTTCCTTTATTTATACGAGTACGGGAGAGTTATAGAAAAAATTCGCGAACGAATTATAGAAAAATATATCGCAGCAGATTATATTTGCATATATATATTATACAATGTGATTCTTAATTATATGTTAATACTTCAGAGGATGAAAATTCTTTATTCTTTTAATTGATGTTTCATCAATTTTTATTCGGAACTTGTTTTCTTTATTTCTTTTTAACCAAAATTTTTTCTATTGATGTTTTAATTTTTTTTTATTTTATAAAAAAAGTTTGTTAAGTCCTGAAGATCCAACAATTCTTTTCTTTCGAAATATCCAAGATGTAAACGTAGATCATATCTTGGAGTAGAATAAACGCAATCATAAACAGAATCAGAGTAGTAATATTTATCACTTATTAAATTGATAAGCAATTTAATAATTTTTTGTGCTAATTTTTAAAATGTTTGATCTTTTATATAATTTTTCTGAAAAAAAAAAAGATAAAAAGTCACGTAAACATATATATTTTAATTATTCAAAATAATAATTGTAATGCAGACACATATGATATAAAGGCCTCTGAATTCACCCTCTGAAGTAGAGAATACTTACATTACAGAATCACCTTGTGTATCATAAAATGTCTCCTAATATAATTCACCGTATTTATTTGTGTTACATATTGGAAATTAGTTATCTAATATATGCACGCGTACGCGCTTAATGTATAGTTCTGTTTTCCCCTCCCCGGAATATATATAGAGCGTTTCATGTAATACGGCGCAATTAAGCTAAATTTTCTTTCGAAGCTTGTAACGTATGGATACGGACCGATTGTGATGTAGCGAAACTACGATACGTGCGATTAAGATAGGGCTCTCTAACAAGAGAAAAGAAATAGGCGTTATAAGGTAACTGCGACACAATGATCGCAAAGTAGCTCGAGAGTTCGGAATTGTCGAAGGAGGCCCTTGAATAAAAGTCGAGATGCGCGTTTCTCTTCTCGGGAGCGATACGTAAAACAACCCGACGAATGAATAGTGAGGCAAGATCGCGCATATATGCTACTATCTGCCATGTGGGTGATGATCTTTCTTTTTCCTAATCCAGCATCGCGAAAATTGCGAATCGCAATCGATCGGCTTCGTTTCTTCATCGACTTCGTTTCCGAAACATTTCTCGTCTCTCGACCGCGTGAGAGACGCGAACGAAGCGAGGATATCGCGAGGATATCGCGAGGATATCGCGAGGATCCAGTGTGCCTTCCTGTATCTGCCCTGCAGAATACAAACAGTTAATATTACATAAATATTATAATTTCCCACTCAACACTATAAATGTAACGTAACCAGAGAGTTCTATAATATACTGAAGCACGTCTTCCACTAAACTACAGAAAACTGCGGCTTGATAGACAAAAGGAAGGTAAACGAAGCTTGTCTTTCTGATTCCTTTTGCAAACAATATCAGTCAGTTAATGAGTCTTAACAAAGAAAACAGTACAATATTAAACAAGTACCTTTTAAGTCCATAACGTGAATATACATAATGAATAAGTAATAAAAGATTTATAACGGTCAAGCGGGATCTTTAACGCTTGAATAACTCGATATAAATTATACAGCTAACTTTATTGTACAACTTTTGTATAAAACATTTTTTTTTATGTCTCGAGTAGTTTTTGAGATACAACGAAAAAGTAGAAAACCGCTTTACATATAAAAGGAGTGATTTCATTCCTTCAAACCGTTTTTTCGCCGCAATTAATATTTTCTAAATTCATCTTTTAACTCTCTATTTGTATAGAAAGTTTCATTAAAATCAGAATTTGGCACCTCGCGAGGTTGCTTTGTTAGTCTCTATTCTATATTGTTGAGGAAATTATAACATTGAAATAACGTAATGATTGAAGCGATGCTGTTAGTTTGTGTTCCGCGAGGCAAGAATCCAAAATACCAAATTGCGACATCACCAAAGAAACAAAAGAGCGTTCTGCGAGAGCTCGCGGGCTGCGCAGCTCATTACCTGCATGTCCACGTAAATGATTTTGTTATCGTTCCTATAATATTTAAAGCGGGACTTGGACACGAAAGTGCGCCGAGCACTTTCGTGTGGGAGAATGTGGTTCTCCTTAAAATCGGGCGGCCGTGCCCGAACGGTACGCCGCCAGATCGTTTTTCGCTCTCTATTTTTTATACGGCCGTTCGATAATCAGTTCTGATCACTCATCGTCGTACCTGTTACGGCGATCATCGGCGTCACGCCCCGTCGACTACTACTTTGTCGAATGAAGTTCCGTGGTTTCGATAGCTTTATTGTACGCGCTGTTACCAGTTATAGAATCTGTAGAGCTTCCCGTGGCCTTGCGAAAATCGCCTTCATCGATCTGCGAAGAAAATGCGTGCGTCGATCGATGCCTCGTTTTTTGCCGATTGATTTAACGAATACCTTTTTTTTCTCAATGTTTTGTACTCGAAAGAATACTGACAATTTTACTCTATGTAAAAAAAAGAAACGTTTGAATTACAGCCCCTCTTGTAAACTATGCGTTTATTCATTTTTTTTACAATGGAAAGAAATGAAGGATTTCAAGATCGTCTTAAGTAAGGATTTAAGATGATTATCACATCTTGGAACTGCATTTAAAACGTTTATATTTAAGAAACAAATATAAGAACGGTCTTACAATTAGATACATAATTACTTAAACTCCACTAAAGGAACATTGAGGAACTTTTTGTTGCCTATTGTTACTGACAACCGAAACAATTTGTCTCCACTAAATAAATTCATGAGATGTAATCCTATAGAGTTAGGTACCTATGTTTCTGTTTCTGGGGACAATGAGAAACATCGAGAAACATATTAGAACTTTCGCGAAAACAGGCAACAGAAATGCAAATGTTGCTCTATGTTCCTTTAGTGAATACGTAGTTTAATGCTCTCTAGCTCTCTCATGTCTTATTTTCTTTCACCGTTTTCTTTTATGCTTGTGCGATCTGTCTCTGTGTCTCGTATCGTCATCGTCGTCCGGTCTTTTCCTCTCGTTATCACGATGCCGACGTTCCTTGTCATTGTGATCGTCCCTTCTGCCTCTCCTTTCCGATCTCTCTTCGCTGTGATCTCTTCTTCGCTCGCTGTTCTCGTCCCTCTTGCTTCTTCTTTCCTCGCTGTGACCTCTCCTCTGATCACTTCTATCCTTATCTCGTCGTTCCTCCCTTCTTCTTCTATCTTTTCGCTCGCTGTCATACTTATTTCTCTCATAATGGTCATCATACGATCTATCTTCCTTTCTTCTGTCTCTGATGTCTCTGTCTTCTCTTCGGCGCTTTCTGTGTTCGAAACCACAATCTTTATAGCTCTCCTTTCTTTTTCCTTCCTCTTTACTTTTACCGTTGTCCCTATCGTGCAATGTGTCAGGTTTCCTCGAGAACGAATAATTGTCCTCGCGTTTCTTCGGCTTGTCGTCTTCATCGAAATACCGGATACCTTTCCCCTTGCCACGCCAACGCATCTTCGCGACTGATTGCGAGAAATCCACGTGTATCCTTCGGTCGTCGATCAGAACGTTGTCCATCTTGAAATATGCATTCTCGCAGCTCTTGCGATCGGCAAATTCGATGAATGCGTACTGCAAGGAGTCACCCGTTTGATGATCTCTTATAACTTCACAACTGCAAAGTCGATGAATCATAAGATTTAACAAAAACATGTAATATATAGATTATAATTTAAAAAATTGAGATATATATCAAATAGAATAAACGAGAGAAAATTAATTGATAACAAGAACTATAATATGTAATTACAAGCATAATAAATAGTATACACAGAAAATATTAATTACTCTTGTTTCAAATATTTAAAAAGTTTGTATATCCGCAAATCTATTATCTTCCAATCACACCAAATTATTAAATTAAATTTGATTATATAAAGTCGTTTTTTTGATCAAATTTTACATTTTTCAAAAGAAAATAATTTCTTGTTTTGAGAAGGTGATAACGAGATTTTCTCTTTCTCTCTTCTCTCTCTAAAATTTATAATATATATTTTAATAAAGTATATTTTAACATTATTATACAGAAAATATTGTTTGTGAAAGATACTATTACTTGAACGGAAAAAAAAATAAGTATTCATTTTTCTTAGCAATAGAATATTTTTCTGTATGTATAAAAGCAAATTACATACCCAACAATTTTTCCAAAACGACTGAAGATAATTTCGAGATCGTCATCGTTCGTGACCGGATTTAATTTACAGACAAACAAGACGTTTTCCGGCGGGGCAATATCCGCGTCCGGTATATCACCCACGATTTCTAATATCGTGGCTCTCGCCTTCGCTTCCTTGTTCTTCTGCATTTCCGTGATCTCTTCTGTGGTCATACCGCCGGTATCATCGATTGCTTCATCTGCTCCAATTCTATCGCTCTAAACATGAATAAATATGGATTAAAAAAGCAAATAAAGAAGACAAGGATTTGTTGAAAAGATGTTGAAAACTTACACTTATAATAAATAAAAAGCACGGAAAGAAGTATATTTGCAAACTTATTTATCCTAGCAGCTATGATCAAATTTATTTAATATTTAATATTTTCTTTCGTGTCTTTTTATCTTATTCAATATAATCTTAACAGAGATAATAAAACTACATCAAACCAACATATCAATAAATCAAAAAGAATATAATGAGATTGTGAGCTCATTTTTGAAATGCGTACCATCAGAGCTTCCTTCGTAGGTTCTGGACTTCTGTCGGGAACTACAAATCCCACAGGATCGTCAAACGGATCTTCCAAGATGACAGTATGGGATATCCTTATGTCCTGATACGGCCTTTGATCTCCATCGCAGATGGTTTCGTTAAATTTGAGGATCACCTCCAATCCTTCTGTTATCTCTCCGAACACGCAGTGTTCGCTGTCCAAGGATTGCAGCTCTGATCCCAGCGTGATGAAGAACTGAGAGCCCAGCATGTTGTTCCCACAATTCACCATGGATAGCAGACCTACACGGCTATGTTTGATCTTCGGCATCTGTTCGGCCTCGTAGTAACGGGCCTTCTCGCCCAGTACAATTCCATATACGCTCTCTCCACCCTTTCCAGTGCCAGTGGGATCACCGGTCTGTGCGATAAAGTTGGTTTGTACCGAGTGGAAGAGGTTCCAGTTGTAGTATTTCAGTTTGCACAGCTTCAGGAAATTCCGCGTGGCTGTGAAGACAAAAATAATCATGTAGAGATGAAAATTTGTTTTTTTATAAATGTATTGTTGTATTTTGTGTACTCAAAATAGATAATAAAAATTTTAAAAACTTAAAGAAATAGAAACAATAGATAATTAGATAGATAATTAGACGTTACAAAAAGAAAGAGGAAAGATGAAAAACTCAACAGATACAAGAAGTTCACTGAACAGATCTAGATACAAAGATATAATATAAATTCACGTAGTGCAACATATATTTTAAATATTTATTTTTATAAATTGTAATTTATGAAAAAGTACTTACTTTGAGGACGTTTCTCAGTATACAGATCCACTGTGAAATCTCCTATGGTAGTTTCTATCACCACGGCCATGTTTTCCTTATAAATTTTTTAACTATTAAACAGTAATCTCAATCTTTCCTACAAAAGATAATTATTATTTCGAAACGGAGCTGCTAAGTTTCTTGTCCAATTTACTTGATAAATTATACACAAATCCAACCCTTTTTTGGTTGATCCCTCTGGTTGAATGTGCCTTTTATCACCTTAAGGTACAGCAAAGAGTCTCTTGCTTCATGTTATTATTTCTCTAATCATCTGTTTCACACAATTTTTCAATCTTCTTTAATAAATTTGTATGGAACAATATATTGTTATTACATACAACAATACATACAACGGAACGGCCAACTAAACTAGGTTAGGTTAGGTATTACGTTAGGTTAAGGTAGTAAAATTTATGAACGAATATCTAGAGGTCGCATCTGTTGCAAATGCATCACGTGATCACAACACGCAAATTTCAAATTTCAAATGGTTTCAAATCGGTTTGTCATTTTAAGCCGTTCTAAGCTGCTATTCAAACTGTAGGTCGGACTTCTTCAACGATTTCATCTGAATGTTATCTCGTTTTTCTTCGGAAATTTTTTTCGAAGCGCAACATGAGAATTACAATTGACGAAAGCATCGAAATTAAAGAGACTTCCTTCTTTCCATGATAAGGTTATAAAAATTGTTTAAGAACATTTCTTAATATATTTAATAATTTCTATATCCCTACAGCATAAAGTTGCACAAAAATTTTAACAATACTGCTACAACATTGCAGCAATATTGCGTCTTGCAGCAATATTGCAGAGATTTTGCAGCGATTGCTGTAAATTCTGTGCTGTATGGATAATCTTTAATAATCTCTCTGTTTAATAATAATATATACTGATGTATTAAAATAATATATTTATCTATATATATTAATAATTTTGTGAATATATAATTACACATGAAAGTATATATATTCTACATAAATATATAATTTAATATATAATATATATTAATAAAGTTACATAATTTTATAAATTACGTATATAATAATATAAACTATATATATATATTTAATATACTACATTTTATATTTAATTATAAATATTATATATAGGTATATATTACTATTAATATATATATATGGTTGAATTATATCTTCAAATAATATTATACATATATAAATAATAATATTGTATATTATTTTAATATATATTCTATATAAATATATAACTTAATATATAATTTAATAAATATATATATTCACATATTAAATTAAATACTAATATATTAAATAGTTTTCAATATCTATATATTATACTGTATTTATTAATTCTCGAATTCAAGATTCTGCTTTCACGCGTCTAAATAACAAAAGAATTCAAAAGCACGATTACTTTGAATTTCTGAGTTCTGTTTAAATTTAATATCTACTGAGGCATAGTTAAATACGTAATTCCTAATTCCTATCTATGAATTCTCGTATTTAGATCTACTGAGAGATAATGTTTAGATTATCTCTCAATATATTATATTTTTGAATATGAGAATTTAACGCATTCAGAAGAACAATTTTTCTGAATCTACCGACAATTAAATTTATTAGTTTTATGCAAAGACAATATATTAGCCCAAACAGAACAACAAAATACATCAAAATGAGTTGTGTTTGATAAAAAGTGATTTTTAATAACCAAATTTGCAACTATTTTGACGTCATTTTGACGTTATATAGTGACTCGTACGTGCTTTACTTGGGAATATCTAAGTGTATAATATAAATATATCTAATTTAAATATAATAAATAAAATATAATAATTTAAATAAATATTTAAAATAATATACGCAAGAAAATTTCAGAAATTGATGCGCACTCGCGCAGACTTCTGACAGTCGCAAATTAGTTTGTAAATATTTAGAAATTAAGTCCTAAAATTTTCAGATTTGTCCTTTATTTTCTCTGAGGTCCGGTTGCATCAACGTTACTTTGACTTTAAGCGAGATTTAAAACTCTCTCTCTCTCTGACTCGTTTTAAAGCCGAAAAAGAGATAGGGACAAAAAGATTCGAGTTTTAAGCCTCGCTTAAAATTAAAGTAACATTGCAATCGGGTTTAAGAAAATATGATTACTGTATGCATTATATTCGTACTCTGCGGGGACGAGTCTGATAAGACTAAATGACCTTATCTCTTCGTAGTAACAAATAAGACGCGTAATCAACGACGTACACATCACTCTTATCAATTTATCAATAAATACGGGAGTAAGTACATCTCGTCCGAATTACACTTTAATCTGAAAACGTCGCAGGTTCCTTACGTACGTTTTGCTTTGCGGTAACAAATTAAGAATGCTTTCGACGGCAAAATCCGAGATAAAGATGCACGAGGTGGAGGTCCCAAGAAACATTATCGTGGACTGCGATGCCGGTATTGACGATGCTTTGGCCTTAATCGTTCTCTTGGCCGGTCACACCACCAAGAAACTCAACGTTAAGGCCATCACTTGTGTTAATGGTAACACTAATGTGAACAATGTGGTGAGAAATGTGTTTAGAACGCTGCACGTGTGCGACTGCACAGATGTAAGTTATTGTATCATTCATCCTTGTGTTCTTAAAGAGTTTAAAGCGTTACATAAAGTTATTCCCATCCCAGTGAATATAATGTTACATGTAACGTACACGTAACATGAAATGTTAGCAAAACAAGGTAACTATAATATGTATAACACACTGTGTTATATTACAGTTATCTTGTTTTGCTAACATTTCATGTTACATGTACATTACATTATGTAACATTGTGTTTACTGGGATAGATACCTGTTTATCAAGGAGCGTATTCGTCTCTGTTGGACACTCCAAATGCCAAAGAGACAGCATTAGAACGTTATCACGGAAGTGATGGATTCGGAGATGCATACACCCATTATCCGGATATAAGTAAACTGCAAAAAGAGCATGCTGTGTGCGCTTTACACAGAATCACATCGGAGGAGCCAGGTATATAATTAATACAACCCTCTTTGCTATTACATAACACAAATCAATACTATTACTAACATAAACTTAATAATAAGATTTAATAATTATCTTATAATTAAGATAACATCTCCGTGGTTTGCTTGGGGCCCCTGACGAATATAGCGATGGCTACAAAACTGTATCCAGAGTTTGTGGATAACGTGAAAGAACTTTTTGTAATGGGTGGAAATTCAACTGGTAATATATGAAATGATTTGCATTAATCGAAAATTAGCTTACAATCTTGCTATCAATTTTATCGATAAATTTCTAAGCAACACAAGTTAATAAGGTCCGACAAGCTTGCATTGTTAAATTAATGCGTTGTTAAATTAATAGCCCGGTAAAAAATTTTTCAGGCATGAATATATATAAATATGTATAAACATACATAAACATGTATAAATATTTATAAACGTATATAATTATATATGACATATGTCCATACATGTTTATACATCTTTCTTTAGTTTGTAAAATTACTTTTCAGTGTACTAAAAATAATAATAATAATAATGAGAAAACATCAAAAATAATTAAAAAGAAAATTTTCGCTTGTTCGTTTTAGAAAAAATTAAGTTTGAAAAAATGTATAAGAATTGTTCATATATAGTTGCATGTAAAATTATATATAGTTATATGTAAGAGCAAATTTTTTTACATTTTTCCAAACTTGATTTTTTCTAAAACAATGCGAAAATAGTCCCATTAACTATTTTTGATGTTTTTTTTCGATATTATTATTATTTTTAGTACACTAAAAAATAATTTTATAAAAGAAAGAAAGATGTATGGACATATTTCATGTATAATTATATATGATTATGAATATTTATGCGTGTTTATGGATGTTTATACATATTTATACATATTAATGTATAAAAAATTTTTTACTGGAAGATTCAAAATGATACACGCGGCGATTTTGGACCGATAGGTGTGTATCGTTTGGATATGTGGCAGTCAAAGTGTTAAAGTGGTCTCTTTGCTCGTGAATTTTGAACGAACTAATTATAGCATTAGATATAACTGAATAGTTTGTGTTGCTGTAGATTACAAAGCCTCAAGAGAAACGTTTGTAATCAGTAAAAATACAAAATACAATGTCCAAACATCTATACAATGTTCAAACGCATTCCATTGTGTGAATAAAAGTGTGTAGGCTGTAATAATAATAAGCATTTATCATTTCGTTCTAAATTTTTGTCAATGTATTCAAAGCACAGGGTAACGTAACTGCCCAGGCAGAATTTAACTTCTACGCAGATCCAGAAAGCGTGCACATCGTACTCAACAGCATCAACAAACCTCTATGGCTATTACCGTGGGAGTCCTGTTTAGAGACCAGAATTACACATGTACATACACAATTTTATTCGCAATTTTTATCAGTTATTGAATAATCATCATAAAATATAATTATATTGTCAATATAGCAATTAATCACATTCCATTTAATTTCTATTATTGGCACAAAACAATAGTAGCTTCAGAAATAAATTTTTTTTCAGGAATGGCGAAGGGATGTACTAGGCAAAATAGACAAACCCTGCGTGCACATGATGAACATAATTGAGGACGGCAGACGCTCGCAAGCGAAAAAGCATTTTCCTTATTATACTGTGTGCGATGCTTTCTTAGCCGGAATTGTGTTGATACCTCGTATGGCCAAGAATGTTATCGCGTGGCACGCGGACATCGAGTTGAGCGGCAACAGAACCCGGGGCCAAGTTGTCCTCGATCATCTGTTATCGAACAAACCGAATGTGAATTTGATACACAGTTTTGATTCAGAGATATTTAAGGAGATATTACTGAATGCGGTGAACACGTTTCATTCAGTGACTACCGTTTTGTGATCATTAATTGTTTTGTGAACATTAAATGTAGCCGCGAATAAAAGAATATAAACAAATATTATATACTGTTTAGTTTTTGATTTATTATTTGAATTACCAGTTTTTAGTTTTGTACATTATTAATATTTTTTGTAAATAAATGTTTATTGTTATTAAGTATTATTAGAAATAGAATCAATTTTCTATATAATTTTCATATAATATTTAAATGTATTATAATTCTTTCTTTTAAATTTAAATAGGGAAACGGCGAATAACGAAAGATTATACAAAAGGACGAGACCTTCAAAGAAAATGACAAAAGACATGTAGATGGAAAGAGACTAGAGAATTTATTTTCAAAGTCACAGTTAAGAAAAACATGGATTTAATGGCTTTTGTACCTGATCCTACAAAGGTACTAAACCAGATATGCTATCATCATCCAGGGGAGATGCCAAGAAGACAGAATTCTATTCTAATTTCACTCATTCAATGATATTGAATTGTATGAGCACTTGATTTAGCAAACTTATCTGAATATTAAATTAATTTAAAAAATATATATACAATATGTTAAATATATTGAGCAATACATTATTTTTTCAAAAAATATAAAAAAATTGCAATCGCTTTGCCACATTAATTAAATATAAGGCTTTTTATGTGCTTTTAAACTCTCTCATTTTTTCGTGGATATTTTATTATATATGTAGGTGTACATATATAAATTTGCCTTTCCTAGACATAAAATTAGGTGAGAATGCGGTTTTTAATATCAAAAAATTATCAAAAGACGTCTATTCCAACTCTTATTTTATTTTCCATCTGATTATTCTAGAAAAAATATAAATTCACGAAAGTGTATAAATATTTTGATAAAGTATTATTTAAAGTAAGATAATATACATAACTTTTCGGGCGCAATATCCCAAGGAGAACAAGAAAATCAAAATAATGTCAATTTGACGTCATATTGACGAATTTATGTCATTTTTTGGTCATGATAAAAATCTCGATCTCAGATGATCTAAGAATTATTGTATACATAAACTTTATATATAAACTTGTATATAAACTTTATATATAAAAGCATTCTTAGATCATCTGAGATCGAGATTTTTATCATGACCAAAAAATGACATAAGTTCGGTTAATGTCAAATTGACATTATTTTGATTTTCTTGTTCTCCTTGAGATGCTACGTATCGTTTCTTTGAAGATGTAGTATATGATAAAAAATATAGTAATTGTAAAGGAATTGTATGGATTTGTAATTTTATATGAACTGAAATTAAAAAAAAAAAGAATATTTAATACAAAGCAATCCTTCAATATTTTGCAACAATCCGTGAATACATATAAAACGGATTTAAAAAAACGCAGTAATATGCACTTTAATTTGTCTCAAGTTAGAGTTTTGTTATTGTAACAATCAGTAAAAATTATAATCATTAAATATTAAAGCAAGCGGATTTACTGCGGGAGCCGTGCTTGGTACACATTTGTGAGGTGCCACCGAAGGAGGATTCATTAAGAAGAATGATTCCCGGAACTTCTCTTTGGTCGAGGCTACGACGTTGGTTTCTTGGTACTCGGATAGCGTCGCGAAAACATTCGTTCACGCAATTCTTCCTGAAGAGCACCCAGGCTATCGATTACGAGATCAGTCGACACCTCAACTCCCATCCCAACATGATCCATCCTTTCAGTACTTTCAGGTCAGTCAGAGGACTTTTTCCATTAAAAATTATAAGCGGAATTAAATAACGAATTGGCTAAGTGTGTTCTTATTGTGAAACGAAAAATACTGAGCCAATAAAATTTCTGTAGAATATTTTGGGAATCTGCGATGACGCTGTTTATTATAGCGGCTTTAATGGTCACTCCTGTCTTTCTGGCATTTTATTTCGACGAACCTGAGAAATGGTATCTTTTCAACCTTGCGATCGACAGCGTATTTATATGCGACATTGTGATCTGGTTTTTCACCGGTTATTATGATTCTCAAATACATTTAATAGTTCTGGACCCAAAGTTCGTGGCGAGGTACAAATGTAGAACACTTAGCCTTAATCATAAGATCAGTCTATGATAAAAAAAACTTATTTTTCTTTTATGTCTTTCATATTTATTATTATAAATAAAATCTATATTTAAATAACATAGAATTCGTATTTAAGTAAAAGAATAGAGACCATATATATGTAGCAATTCTTCCCCTATAGCTATAATAAAGATCATTTGTTAGGAAAAATCTTTATAATTTAACTGTGTGAATTCATATTTTAAAATTTATTATAAAATTTTTTACAGCTTTATGTGACTCCTTTAATCTCTATTCTTTTCAAAATGCGGACTCGAGAATTTGTTGGAAAAATGAATTTTTTAACGATTTACGAGATGATAATAATGTAGCAAATATCTGCGGGGTTTCTTCGTCATAAATCTGTTGCCAGTGCTACCCTTGGAGTTTTTCATCGTGCTCTTCAAATCGATGTGGTATTTGGCGGCATTGAACTTACTGAAGATATTTTGGATGCGAACGGTCATCAATTACTCACGCAGACTCTATTATGTTAGGATTTGTATCCGATTGTTCTTCTTTGTCTTCACCGTGCGACTCATCGATCAAGATCTTATTCACTCAAACGTTAAACATGAAAATTACAGGTTTACGATATTAATTTCCATCTATACAAGGTAGCGGAGATTAGTGTTATCATCATCGTATGCGTGCACTGGGCTGCTTGTCTGGAGTACTATTTGCCGCTGGCGGTCGCCAAGATGGTCGGACAGCATGATGCGTTAGTAATGGACAGAATCTATGCGTTATACCTCGAATGGAAAATTTATACCCATTAATCACTTTACATATATTAGCAACAAAGCATATTTGAAATGACATATAAAAGCATCTGTAATTTTTTCTATTTTTTTCTTTGTTTTGTTTTCTCTTTTTATTTTATCATTTGTCTATTTTAGCTTTCATACTGTACATTTTATCGAAGGACGTTCTGGAGATATTCTGGGAATATTTTTAATACGTCCTTCGACAATGTCTTTAGGATGTTCCTTGGAAGTTTGTGCTGTATGTTTTTTGTTTATATAACAATTTTAATGTATTGAAAGAGTCCCAGTTAGACAAGTCTGCCGAAAATAAATTTTATCAAATACTTGCTACAAATATTGATAAAAATACACCAAATTCAATGCAAATTCTCTTATATTCTGTTATAATAATGTCAACAAAGATGATGGCAGATAAATAACAAAATTTATTGACGTAACGTGAGAACAAATTGTCGGACAAATTGTTCAAAGTTTGTTGACAATCTGACAGTAAATTGATAGTAAGAATCGATCAAAATCGATTTGCTATTTGATTATATATACAGGCTTTGCTAGCAAAACAAAGTTTATTGCTAACAGAAATATTAACACCAGATTTGTCACCATCTTTGACCTAATTTGATATCAACTACAACAATTTACTATCAATTTGCTTACTGGGATGCTTTTTTCCCACGATAATTATATTTATAAAATGCGCGGCCAATCGGAACGACAATGAAGGCATAAAAAATTTGTAGATCATGGATACGATCGTCTTACATGCTGAAAAGGAAAACAAAATTTGCGATCTATCTAACGTGTGTTAACAGAGCTATTATTGCCTTAACTGTATCCACGCATTATTTGGACGTCAAGGCTCCAGAGGATATCATATATAATATGATTCTCTCTATCCTCGGATTGCTCGGATTTATTTATATGCTGGGTACGTCCGTCCTGTTTAATTAGATTAATTAAGAAAGTTTTTTTATTAAAATTAATTAATTTAAACGATGAGAGATTGTACTAATTTAACAAACTGCTAGACATATTTGGATATAGAAATAAAATCTGAAATATTTATTTTTATCTTTATGCTACGACTAAATTTTTTATCTCTTTCAGATAATCTTCAGTGACTTAAAGCTAACTTAAATTTTCATAATACATCTGAATTAAATTTCTGAAATCGTGTCTCTTCTATTTTAATTTTCACAATTCTTCTGTCGTTATGGATTTATTTAGTCTAAGATTAAGTTGTGTGGTTTTATTAATCAATAAAAGTCTGTTTTCTCGAAACGGCCGCAGCACAATTCTCGCAGTTAATGATAACGTTTCACTCCACTCGCAAGAGGCATTTACAATTAAACGAGCAGCTGCAACAGTACATGACATACAAGGAATTGCCGTATTCCTTGCAGCGACGATTGCTGGCTTATTACAATTACCGCAATAAAAAGGGATTCGAAAGAGACAAGATTATTATCAATCACGTGTCGCCCTACTTGCGAGAAGTACGATGGTGTCTTAAAAGATTTTCTAAAGAATAAAAGTATATTTTTACGAAAACCTTTCCATTCTGATCGGCATTCATAAATTCTTTTCATAAAAGAGATTTTCTTAAAGTTATATATCACTCTGATAAAATTTTTCAAATAATTTTTCAAAATTCTTATGTAAATTAAAATATTTTTTAGAATTTTTATATAATTTTATAACTTTTTAACAAATTTCTCAAATTTTTAATACGTAATTTTTTGTACAAACTTGTCGAAGTAATGATTGTGAGAAAATCTATATCTTTTTTAGAATCCTTTTCATTTGTAAATATTTTGAAATTTAAAAGTTTCTCATTTTATATAGTTTCTGGAAAAAAAGTATAAAATCTGAAAAAGGTTATAAAAGGTATTTTTTCTTTATAAATTAAAAATATGACAAATTCTGAAAAATATTATATTATGAGATTTTTTTATTAGAATTCCTTGTAGAATTGATCCTTTATCGTTTTAGAAGCTTCTTCTGCACAATTATCGCCGATTGTTGAATGATGTGGATCTGTTCAGAAATCTGCCGGAAATAGTGGTGGCACAATTTGTCGGCGCCGTGCGCTCCGAGATTTTCATGTCAAACGACGTGCTGGTTAGAGCTGGTGCGCGTGGCGATGCTTTGTACTTCATCGCCTGTGGCACCGTGGTTGTCTACAATAGTGCGGAGAAAGAGGTAAAAGATTTAGGAATCCGCCTTGGACTTGTCTTCACATCGTCGCTCGTTGCATTCAGCATATGACTTTAAAGTCTTGAGAGATCTAAACGCACACACTAATCCAAATCGATGAGATTCAATTCGTAAACATCAAGAAGTAACATCAATGTCATAATTTCACAATAATATAATTGTAATATAACACACATTAATTTAGTTCGTCTTTATTTCCTTCGATAAAGAATATGTGATGTATTTAAGTCAAATATTTTGTTATATTCGACTTAAATATAAACATTCCTTAATAAAAGAAATACACTGAAAGAAAAGATTGGCTGCTTCAGCAAATTAGATGGTAAAATATGGTATAGTATTTTTAATTGGCTGCAACCAATTACAAATGCCATATTTAACTATGTCATATTTTACCATCTAATTTGCTGCAGCAACCAATTTTTTCTTTCAATGTATAAAGACAATTAAATTAATTTAGTCAAATAAACAATTTTTTCAGTGTAAAAATTTCATTGTTGAAACTATAACATTAATGTTATGTTACTTCTAATTGGTGTTCACTGGAGACCAGTTGAATCATTCGTGTGTTTCTGCAGATCTGTCACTTGGAAGACGGCGCATACTTTGGCGAGCTGGCCCTGCTGATGGAAGACGAGCGTTGGATCGCGAGCGTCATCGCCGCGGAAAATTGCGAGGTCTACATATTGTCGCGTGCCAACTTTCAAAACGCCCTGATATCGTATCCCGATCTCTTGGCACATTTGCAAAACGTAATGCTTGCGCGTCTGGAGCAGACGCCGTTACTCGAAAAGGCCCGCGAGCCGGACTCGCCGAGGACAATGACCGGGAACGTCAATATCAGCAGTATAAAAGTTAAGAAGAAGGATTAAAGCGAACGTTGTGGAAATGTACGAGAGGCTTTATATTTTTACTTTCTGTTTTATTCCTCATTTATTTTAGATTTCTTTATTATTATCTCAACTCTGCATTCATTTTTTCATAAATTTTCATAATTTCATCCATAGTTTACTATACTATACAATTGTTACATAACGGCAACGTTTTAATGAGCTACGGAAAATAGCCTATTGACGGGGAAAAATACAGGAAAATATTCTTTTCCGATCTTTTGATAAGCTTTCAATGTTATACATAAATCTAAATAAAAATAAGGAATATCTTTTTATACGTGTCCATACGCACTTCTTTCGTGGAAACTAGAAAAGATAATTTTTTAATAAACAAAAGTTAAATGTGTTAAGAGTACTTTATAATAATAATAATAAAAACACCTAAAATTTCTTTTATTTTTTACAAACGAAAATTTTTTAATTAAAAGTCTTTTTACATCATCATTATTATATTTTTTAAATCATTTAATTTGTATTTAAAAAATTGTTTTATATTTTTTCTAATTTCGACGAAAGAAACTACCAGACAGCACACAATATTCATAAAATATTTACAAAACATTTATAAATATTTGTAAGATTTATTTTAAATATTTTGTAAATATTTTTGTGGTCCTAGATTACACAGATCATAAACAATTATTATAAATATTATAATATTTATTGTAAATGTTATAGTAAATGCTATGAAAATACTTAATAAAACATTATAATCCAAGTAAGAAATACTTATTAGAAATATTAATTTATATTTATCATAAATATTACATAAAATATTTAGTCTATATTTTAATAATATTTCAAATAAAGCTTTATATAAAATTCCTTATTATGGTCTGGATTACAGTACATTAAAAGCTCATCGAAATCGGAGGAAGACTTTTTTCTATGTTTCCTTTTGAGGGTTAATCATTTATTTAACAATGAAAATTTCAACGAAATATTATAAAACTCTCTTACTATTATATAACGGATCAACAATAATCATTCAGAATTAGTTCTTTAACGGACAGCAAATCTCGAAAGAGATTCATTGCATAAAACTGTATTTAATTTAGCTAATTCGACCATAAAACATACTAAATTCTCCCCTCTCCTTATTAGGCTCGGCCTAATTAGAAGCGGCGAGTCCTTCGTTTTTGCGGGTTCCTGTACGACTGCTGGTACACAGACATGAGGCGCCAGTGCTCGGGGTAATCGGCATCCCGGCAGCCATTCATCACGCTGAACGGCGGTGTCAGAGTGTCGATGCAGAAGGCGCGCCTCGCAAAGGGAGTCCTCGGCCGCGGCACCATCATCTTCATCGGCGGTAATCCGTTTCTGCGCGCGTCGTCGCCCGTCGTTGGTCCGCGTTTTTCCTCGAGACCGAGCGCGAAACCCACCGCGGACCGGATCAGTCTCGGATCCTTTCTTCGCCGCTCGAGTTCCGCTTCCGTTTCACCTCCCCGGCAAGCCATGCACTTGCGCTCGGTGATGCGTGGCACGGAATTCGACCTGGACGGCTTCTCGCATCGCCGTTCGCCACAGAGTTCTACGATCGAATTTGTTATTAATTGTTTATTTAATTTCTCGTTTACGCGCTGTTTAACATGCTTCTCTATGTTTCTCTATTATATATATTATATAAATTATTAAATATTATATAAATGTATAATTAAGCAAATAATATTATATATATATAACATAAATTACTATAAATTAAGAAAATAATATATAATATATTTAAGTAAACAATATATTATACAATATAAATTATGTAAATATATTAAAAATTATAGGTATAAAATATTAATAAACTCAATACTAATAACAGTTTTATATTAAAAATAAATAGAAATATATTTATTTATAAATAGTGATTATATAATATAATATATTAGTAGTTTTTAATTTATAAATAATATATGAGATCAATAATTAATAATATTTAATATCCATGATTAATAATATAGTTTTATACAAAGTTATAATTGAATTATAGATAAAACGATAGAAAGAGCGAAATATATAAATGACATAAATTTTCAAAGAGCAAGTTAAGTATATTAATTAAGCGAATCGACTAACCGCATTTGAACATTCCTTGTCCTAAACTACTACGATTGATTCGCTCGCCATTTAAGTAATCCTTTCTTTCCCGTGCTACATTATTCCTCACCGTTGCAGGAATGATTATAGCAGCATCGATTCTTGTTCAGGTCTCTTTCCGCCTCGTCTTGTCTCGCACAACTACACTTGTTTCTCTCCTCGTTACGAGACAGAAGCTCGCGATTTTTCGGCACTGGCGTGTGCTGGATCATGGCAAAGATCGCCGGGGCTGAGCCACCCTCGGAACCGTCGATGTGCGTCGCTCTGCGAGGCTCATATACTGGATCTATTGGCGTCTCCCAGCAAATCGCCAGGTCCATCCGGGTTTCCGGTTTCTTGCAGCCGAGCGCGGGTCTGAAGCGATTCTCTACCCTCGTTGCAAGATTCGCTCGATCCTGATTCCACTTCGCGTCCCGTTTGTAGCTGGCCGAACAAGCGCGACATCCTTTCCTGAAGATGGAGTCGTCCACCCGATCCGGGAGCGGCTGGTGCTGCAGGTTCTCCGCGTGCAACCTTTTCGCCAAAGCGAATTTGTCGATGCAGGCGGCGATCTCTGGAGAGAAAGATTCTTTCAGAGAATTATAAATTAGAGCTTATATATGAATGATTATTAAGTAATTATTAATATATTGCCTACATAAAAAATAATAGTGGAATAAGTCAACTTTTTATTTCTCAATAAATAAAATTTTTTGTAGATCTTTTTCCATAAGACTTTATTTTTTTTTTACAATATTTAAAAATAAATGACAGTAAAAGTCCCTTCTACGTACAATTTGAAACAATATATTAAAATAATAAAATTTATGAGCAATATCTAATCAAAATAATTACACTGATTGATAAGATTTCTATTTTTCAACATTTGAATAATGATGTATTTTACTCTGTAAAGTAAAAAAACAAATTGTAAATTGTTTAAATTTTTTTCAAAAATAAAGTCTTTGATTTCTAAAATTTGAAAATAATAAAAGTTTTTAAATTTATATTCTTTTTCAACATCTCAAAATACATCACCATTCAGATATTAAGACAGAAACTTTGTAACACGGTTTAATTAATAATTTTAAATGATTATTTATATATATTTAATATTTTTAATTAATAAATTAATTTTTAAATAATAATTCTAAGCATTGTCGTAGATACAAAGAAACCTTTGAGTCTATCGATCGTATGTTGGATCCTCTTTGATGGTCCTCTAAGAGAAAAGAAGAAAAAATTGTCGTACCATTCCTCCGTTCATCTTCCTCGAAGGTCCGAGACTTGGGACATTCAGGCGAGTGTCTTTTCGGAGAGAAGGTTGTCCGCTTTTTTAAGACGTGTTGGGATCGGTAATGGTCACAGAGGTCATCGTTCTTATAACGGACTATCGATTTAGCGCGACAGCGAGCACAATGCTCGGGCGATTCCATATTCATTTGCCGGCCGACTACTTTACTTGTCGCTTATTCGTCGCTTTACATAATGGACACGCGATTTATTATTAATGAGCAGTTGAGAGAAACGAAGACGCGTCTGCGAAGCACATCTCCCAGTGGAGAAACTCGGAGGGAATCGCCACTGCCGTTTGTCGCCGTTCTCCATTTTTGACCATGTCGGAGAATACCTGAGCACCACCATAGGAATGTCTCGATCGCGAAATACTTTCCTCCCACTCTCTCTCAACACTGGTTTCCTTGGCGACATGATAATTCGATAGCGAACTCGCTACTTACAAATGCTTACGCTTGCATATCTATTGTAACCCATATTATTATCGTCATTATTATATCCTACTCTAATGTTTTGATCTCGTTTTTATGAGACGAGCCTATCTTGGTCTCGAACTCAGTCTCCGTTTGATTTCGAAATTTTTGATATCGTCTCGGTCTCGGTCTCGAGTCAAGAGTGTCGTTGGTCTCGAATCGAAATTTTTTTAGGAATTATATTTTTACTGCGGACAAATATTATAAATTTTGATAAGCATTTGTTATTTGCCGAAATACTCGCGGCTCGAGGTTCGACTCGGTAATCTGGATGCACCATAAAACAACTGATATTCGCGGACTTATTTACTGGCTACGTTTACACCGTGCATTTAGGCCGCGGCCTATACAATAGATGTCCTTGTTTATCCTGTAGCCATAGTTTCGGTCTCGTCTCAGTTTCGATAATGAGACCAGTATCGTCCAAAACACTATTCTACTCTAGTAAATAGTAATATAAATCTCATAATATAAATGTGATATACTATATACATCTATATAAATCTATACTATATACATCTAAGAACGCTACTACCTGCTAAACAAAAAAAAGGGAAATATAATCTATTATTAGAGGGGTAAATAAACTTATCATTTAATAAAAGTAAATAATAATTCTATTACAAATTATTAATAATTGAAAGAAAGAAGTCATTAAATCTAGTTTACAACTTAGAAAGTGATGGTTAATCTAACTAAAGATTACAGGTTAAACTAAATCACTAAAAATTAATTACATTTTTGTGCCGCAAGAGAATGTTGTTATGAAGAGAGCGTGAATCTATGTGTGTGTATCATGCGCAAGCGGAGAGGCGATATCGGTAGAATTAATTTAATTACGACGGAAAAAGGAGGGGAGAGGTTGTAGAAGAATCCTATGGGAACAAGATATAGGTAAAGTGATCGAGGAAGTAATACCGGAATGTGAACATTTGGTGGCTGCCCTGAGAAAGCGCCTTTAGGAAGAGAAGGTGTTGAATACGAAAATTTGCTGTTCCGTCGATTCCGTTAATTTTGATTTTCGTCAATCCTGAATTTTAAATGTTTAATAGAACATTATTTGAACTGGAGAATTATTTACTGTTTAGCGAATTAGTTTAATTTCGCGAACAAATAAATAATAATCCATGAGACTTACAATTTTATGCTGTCGGAATGTTCGCATCAGATGTCGGAGCCTAATGAGATGGTGATGTTCATTATTCGATAAAAAAGACGCGCACAGACACTAAAATTTTTATGAAGCGGAAACTATTTAACGAAAGCCGTATGAAACTTTGTATACATGACAAAATAATGACAAAATAATGAGTGACAAAGTTAACTGGCAAATACAAGTGACAAATATAAGAGAAGAAATGACAAATATAAGACGAATAAACGACCGATAAAAATAAGAGCAGATATAACAAAATGTAAGACAAATAAATGAATGACAAAAATAAGAGAGCGAGTCTCGCGATGTCGCGGTTTATATACGAGTCGTTTGAGAGGTGGTTCCTTGATAGGATTTGTTAAGTAGGAAGATTCAGGATTCGGATTGGCGGGATTTTTCCACTTTTGGTGGAAAATTCGTTTCTCAGATTATTACTGGAGAGTTGTTTTTAAATTTGCTTCGCCTGCACTGTAAATTTTAATTTCCTTAAAGCTTACTGGTGACGCAACGTCACCTTCTCTGAGGATTTCAGTTTGGCGGTCACCCATTAGCGAGTTTAGTTTTAGTCTACTCCGTTTTCGGAGAGAGAGAGGGGATGTAACTTATCGTCCCTTCCAAGCGATCTAATTGTGATTTACGTTGTTCTTAAGTGAGTTTTATTATTTCCTTTTTTTTTCAATCGCTGGTTTTCTCTTTGATTAGTTGATCGTGCGATTCCTCGTCTTGACAGTATTTGCTTAAGTTTATGATTGACAATCTAGGAAAGAAACAAATAATTAAAAACTCCTCTTTGTCATCCCGCATTTTATTTTACTAATTTCCTATCGTCGACGAGAAAGCGTCCTTGGACATAATACTTAGATTGTTCTTGTGAAGTTAAAATGTCTCTATTGTCACGTATCGCCGAGCCCCGCGTGCGAGTCCAGACTCTGTATTTATTAACGAACCAATATTGGCTGTGTTCCAAATTTACTGCCAGCACAGAAAATGCTACAGTTTACGTTATGTGCACTATAGATTTTCAGTACTGGCAGTCAATTTTGGAACACAGTCA